AGGGATGTGCCCGCAACCAAGGTACATGCCCTTGACCAGAATCAAACCTGGGACCTTTCAGTCCGCAGGCCGATGCTCTATCCACTGAGCGAAACCTGTTAGGGCTCACATATTATTGATATTAGATAGTCCAAATTATGTTCCTCTAATTCCCTTTCAATGTGTACGAATTTCATGCACCAGGCCACTAGTCTGAATATATATAATTGGTTTCCTTTGTAATCTTGTGTATTGCATTTTATACATTTAAAAACCTGATTTTGAGAAGAAATTTATGCCCTTCTTTATCAGGCTGCCAACAGGAGTCCCTAGCATGAGAAAGGTTAAGAACCAGAAGCATAGGGGCAAGATTATTGAATCTGTTCTGATTTCTGTACCCTGGAAAGTTGGTTTGTTAGGATTTCCTTCCTTGCGGGCTTCCTGGAGGAGCTGGCTAGTGTTTGAGCATAGCCTTGGCATGTGGGCAGCATTTTGGCCATAGTAGTATTGGGGAAGAGGGTCAGGGAGACATTGTCAGCCGGTGGTTAGCCCTGTCTTCATTGACTGCCATGACTGTTGCCTGGCCAAGTAGTCTGGAGCAAGACTGTCTGGGTTCATCCCAGCTATAGTGTACTTTTGACTGGCTGGATGCCTCAGCTAGTGGGTTTCTTACCCACTCCATGCCTCAGTTTCCTCATCTGTAGCATGGACCTAATAATAGTATCTTTAGGGTTATTGGGAGAGTGAAATGAGTAGGCACATGTCTGCTAAGACAGAAGGTTCTAGGTTGTCCTCTCAGAGCTCATCTCCCTGACTTAGTAAATTCCTGGCCTAAACTGAAATGGGATGGTGAACAATATAGACAGTGGCTTCTCAGTCTGAAGACATTCATTCATCCATGAAATATCTATTTAAATATGAACAACTATACTAAATATTCAAAAGCATCTATATATATATAAAAGGCTAATACGCTAAGTGTCCAACCATCCAACTGGTTGCTATGATGCACACTGACCACCAGGGGGCAGACGTTCAACACAGGAGCTGCTGTGACGCACACTAGCCATTTACAGAGAAACGGCACGACAGAGCTGGCACCCACAAAGCAACACTTGGCTTCCCCCAAGTGGGACACGGGCCCCGCCACCACCTCGGGGCGACACCCCACCAGATCGCAGCTGACACTGCCAAGACCCCATGGAGCAAAATCTAGCCCACAGCCCAACCCAGCTCGGAAACGGTGCCTGTGGGCACCAGGTAATGACATCACATAGCAATGCCCGGCTTCCTCTCCCTAGCAGCTAGCCTCCTTGTAGTTTCTTCAGCCTAGGAACATGACTTGCTTTATAGCCAGGTGGAAACATTTACACTTTAACCAAATGTCTGTGGCACGTTTTCCTGTGCCTCATCTCATTTGATCCTCACAGAAGTCCTGGAGTAGGTAGATAGGAGACTCAGTAGAATCCTATTTTCTTTTCATTAGCCAGAAAATGGAGATTTAGAAAACTTAGAAACTTGACCCGACTAAAAAGAAGTAAGAAATGGTGGACCTTGGAAATGACTTCAGGTTTTCTCACTGCACAGAATATAGTCAAACACTGCTGCAGTTAAATATTTCACCCTTTGTTCTCTTTGCACGATCTACATTAATAATCTGCTTCATGTTAATATTTACTGTTGTGTTGCTGACAATCACCTGAAAGAGAAGTTGGGGTGCTTCACTGGGCTGGAAAAAGTTTAGCTAAATCAGAAAGGAGGTCTAATTAACACTAGAAAGACTGAAATTTAGTATATACCTGTATTGCCCAAAAGCAGTCAAAATGACTGCATTGTGAAAGAATAACTAATGTGTAAAGAAATTTGTTTAAAATTAATTTTTGATATTTTTATATT